TGAACGGAAGGCCACCACTAATCAACTCAGCAGTTCCAAATTGTTTAAACATTTTCATTTATCACATTGAAAAAACATTCTTTTTTTGCTCCGCATGACTTCTCTGACGTCATCGACCAGATGTAATTAGCATCCAAAAAAAAAGAGGTAAAACGAAATAATAATTAACTTTCCTTGAAAAGTACATATGGTTAATGGCGGTTTATGGTATGAAACTTCTGACACAATGAGTCATAGCCTAAACTACGTCCAAAAATTTTCAACTAATCTTTAGTCATCAAAAAAGACTGGGAGAGAAAAAAAACAAAAAGAAGAACTTAAAAAAATCTTTTTGCAGAGAACTTTACTTAACATTTGATAAAAGCTGTTTGTGTTTTGGTGCTTAGAATAAACCGCAAAAGCAAACAATATGCAAAGACATCCCAAAATCGTTTTGAAGTGTTAATAGTGATTTTTCACTATCGCTTATAATGGTTTTTTTTTACTTAAGCCGACCACTTCAGAATCAACTTAGTTTTCTTCGTAAAATAGCCAAAATTAGCTGAAACCAACGAGCTTAGAAAAAAGTGTACGCTATGTTCCTAAAACTGCATAGGCGTGTTTATATAGTTTTTTTAAACCTTTAACAGTATATAAATTTATTTTACTCATTCTTAGCTAAGACTCTACTTAAAGGTTGTTTGTATTTTATTTCTTCTTTCTTTTTTTCTGCAGTCAAATATCAAATTTCGTTAGCCTTTGAGTAATACTACAAATTTCTTAGACATATTTTCTTTTTTATTCTCCATGTTTTAGCTTACACTTATGCCTATATGCATGCAATTTTGTTGTCAAAAAAAAACTTTAGACAAATGTTTGTTTAACGATTAACTGCGCCGGTCGACTGTTGGCAATTCAGTCAGCCATGAATAAGCGAGAAAAAACAAAAAAATTTGTATTCTTACATTTTTGGTTCATCGTCTTCGGCAACATGTCCACCAGTACCAAGTTGTAAAGTATCCTTTGATGGTTTTTCTGTTTTTGCAGATGTAGACAACTTTTTCACTGTCGGTTTCGGCGTGATTATCTGCTTTGGTGTAGTCGGTTTTTTCGACGAAATCCTTATCGTCGCCACTGGTGGTGGTGGTGGTGGTGGTGGTGGTGGTGTTGTTGTTGTTGTTTTATTTCGTACCTGCGTTGTAGTCGTTGTAGTTTTTGGTGGTATTGCTGATCCCTAGAGATTCAGAAAAAGTCTCAATTGCTCAACTTTTTTTTCTGGTTTCTTTTTTAGGACTTACTTCTGACAGTACACTGAATCTAAACTAACAACAAGAGAGAAGTGTAAACCTAACCAGAAAAAAAAAGACTTATTATAAAGCATACTACCGAACAGCTAACTTTTTCTGCATTTGTACTAAAGTTTTAAAGAATTAAATAAAATGTTCTTGAAAAAATATGCTCTATGTAAGTGCAAAAAAAAATTGTAGCTAACAGTTTGATTAAAATATTTATTACAAATAAACAAATAAAATTATGTTACTTCAACAACGCTATCTTCGTCGTCGGGATTTGCCAGATGACCACTTCCTTCGTAAAGTGCTTTGGATTCATCGTCAAAAGACTGACTTCGACAAGATGATATAAGGAACAATAAATACAGTATCAATAATTGTACTGGTAGTCTTAGAATCATTTTTTTTACCAGTTTTACTAAAATTAGATTATCAAATCAGTCTTTTTTTTTTGCTTAGAAAATATTGTTAAGTAAGACTAATAAACAAATTAAGTTTTTTCACGTTTTTTACGTATATAACAAAAAGAAATAAACAAAAAATTTCTCTCTAAACTTAAAATTACTTAGTCTTTAAGCTACTACAAAATAGTAAGGTGAAAAGGTAAACTGAATGGTGCATTTTTATTTTAATCAGATTTCAATTTTTTTTTCATCTGATACCAGATTAAGCAATAAACTATTAAGCACGTAAATCAAACAGGAAATTAAAAAATTTTGTTTACTATTGTAAATATTTGATGAATCAGACAAAATTTTGGGTTTTTGTAAAGCTCAGTGTTGACATCAATGAAATAATGATAAAAACTTTTGAATGTTTTTATAAACAACAACTGTTTTGGCTGAATCAGTAATTATTTTTGATGATACAGCGAAGCATCAAACATTTCCAAGTT